TTAGTATATCAATTAAAGTATTTCTTTAGGTCCCTTAAATGGACTCCATCTGGGATGGTCAAATTGTGGCACCAGCTGGCCACTCAACATCTTGCATGTGTTGGGCCGATCAAAGTGTTGTATGGATTACTGAAGTGGATTGGTCTGATTAAAACCTGAGACATACTTAAATAAAAAAAAAGATGGGCTGAAAATTCATATACAACAGAATGCGCTTGGCCGAAAACCAATGCCCTCTAACTGGCTTGGCCCATGAACGGCCGCCTACTATATGGGCTTTAATATGCAAAAATTAATTTAACAGGCTGCCTAGTCCACACACTATTTTCTCAACAAAAATAAAACTAGTCTACACTACTAGGCGAGCAAATGGTCAATCGATTTTCAGATGCTGGCAAATGGTCACTGTAAATGGTTTCATGATTACCAAAAAGCCCAAACATTTAGCATCTTTGAGAATTTGAATTGAACCCAAAACCAATTGCTGCCATAACGCCTCCCTACTACTACACCACAAATTCAATTGATTATATATAGGATACTTTAGTATATCAATATTTGTGGTAGTCACTATATATAGTGTCACTATATCTAGTTTTAATACTAAAGTAATAGCATTCTTTATATCAATATTTCATAATCTTGTATTGAATATTTGGATACTAAATGATCTCAAATAAGAAAACTTTCAAATACATATTGTTAAATCTTGTCAAGCACTACAACTTTAGCAAAGGATGTATCTCTATTAGACATTGTTCGTCAAATTCAAAATTTTAAATCTCAAAATATATGAGATTAAAACAAATATTTCCGACATTAAAAAACTTAAAATTAAAAACTTATCAACAACAAACATATAGATCTGGTCAGTACTTTAGTATTAACTTTGTGAACATTAAAGGTCGTTTAGAAATTCTAAATTTAGAATTTCAAAATCTATGAACTTAACACACATATTTGGGACTCTAAAGGACTTCAAATAAAAAAACATTTCAACTACAAAGTTCTATGTTGTATTGAGAACAACTTTTGTGTAGACCCTGTCAACATCCAAGTTTTTTTGAATATTTTAAATTTCAAAACCCATAAACTTTAAACAATATATTGAGCCTCTAAATAGATTATAATAAAACCTTCTCAACCACAAAGTTGCAGATATGTCGAGAGCTAGACTTTTGATATAATGTTTGTCCGCATCCAAATTCATATAATAAAGTTATGAATTATTTTGGATGAAACTATTTTTAGACACCGGTATCTTAAGATGCTCATCTCTGACAATAAACTTTTAGAGACGAACGCTTAAAATGGTTACCTGTGTTAATAGCCATTTTCATAGATGGGTATCTTAAGTTGTCTGCCTCTGAAAATTGATTACAGAGTCTGGCGTTCTAAGCCGATTACCTCTGTTTAAAAAAGTTTGACCTCTCGATATGCGAGAGGTGCATTTATGGGACCGAGGGAATATATAGAGACATAGCAGATGTTAATGAAAGAACATGTACAAACAACATATCACATGACATAACAAACTAATAAACACATGAGGACAAGCAGCTAGTTGGGCCATCCACTTTCCTCCCCTTGTGAGCAATCACCGATGATTGAACCAAAAAAAAAACTCATAGATATATATTACACTATTATCTATAAGATTTATAAAAATGACTACTTTTTCGAATATAGAGCCGCTTCTAGAAATGCATATCTAGGGATGACTGTTATTTTCAGCCACCTCTGCAAATGTCCTTATCTTTAGAGGCGGATCAAGATACAACTGCCTATGGATTTCTATAGACGGATAGATCTATAGCCTTCTCTAAACTAGGTGCAACATAGTAAATTTCATAACCTTTTCAAACAAAGTCGATTAAAGATAAACTTTATATCAAAGTTGTATATCTTGATATATCAAGATATACAACAATGTAGTTAACAACTTTTTCAATTTAAATAATTTGGACCCAGCAAATTCTGTTTGAAGTTCTCACATGCTAAAATTCAAAATTTGAGTTTTCCAAACGACCTTATATGTTGAGATGACAAAAACCAAAGTTATATATCTTCAAAAGATATAAAACATCGCAGTTGATACTTTTATATTTGAAATAATCTATGGTCCTAAAATTTAGTTCGAAGTCCTCACATATTGAAATCTGAATCTTTCAAATGACGTTTAGTGAAGAAACGACAAAAAGCAATGATGTAGATCTCGGAAAGTTATACAACTTTGTTGTTGACAACTTTTTCATTTGAAATCATTTATCTACAGGAAAATTATATTTGAATTTCTTACGTTTGAAATTCAAAAATTTTAAATGACCTCGTTGGAGAAATGACCATAACCAAAGTTGCAAAACCAAACGATATCTACAACTTTACAGTTGAATTTTTTTTCATTTGTATTCATTTAGGGTCCCAAATAGTACTAAATTCAAAATTGGGTAAACTGAATATGAGGAAATGAATATGCTTTACAGACACATGTGACTTTGGTGGTGTGGTTAGAGGAGAACACGCGAGGTCATAAGTCTCCGATTTGAGTCCCGCCTATTTTTCCGTTAAAAATCGCGCGACTTATGACTTTAGTCTCCTTGGATTAAAAAGCTATATTTTTTGCGAGATTTATGGTTTCTCAATAATTTCTGGTACTGATTTGTAGATTGACTATGATTTATAGCAGCATATGCAAATCTATTTTTAGGTGCGGCTGTTATTGCCCATCATCTCTACAAATCGATGATCTCTAGCAACATCAGAGTAGAGACGACTGCCCAGCCCTCTCTATAAAAGCACCTACAGCCGTCTCTATAGAGCATCTACGGCTGTGTCCAAAGAAACCAACTATAATAGTGCTATCTACAATTTAGTCATCTAAGTTTAGAGTGGAAATAGCATCTGGAAAGGGCATGCATGCCCGCTCGGCCCGCACACGCGCTGGCTAGGCCAGGCGGTGGTCGCGGCCGCAGCCATGGCTGGAGACCTGTGTGCGCCCGTGCCCCCGCGCACTCACTGGCTAGGCCAGGCGGCTGCTGAGTGGTTGGGGTTGCGGCCACTAGGGCTCGTGTTAGTGACGCGAGGCCTCGCTATGCTTCGCACGGTTTTTGTCCGACCATGAGCAGCGCGGGATGGAGGCAGGGGAGCAGGGAAGGCCGGTTCGCGTCGGCCTCGTCTGTGGCGGACCCTCCAGTGAGAGGGGCGTCTCCCTCAACTCCACGCGCTCGGTCCAGAACCGAGTGTCTCAGCCCCCACGCAAGCACGATGACAAGGCTAGGTGGTGGCCAGGTGGCCGGGACTGCGACAGGAGGCCCTCATGTGCTCTTTCACCCACGTGCTCGCCGGCTATGCCAGGTGGCGGCCGGGTGGCCAGGAGTATAGCCAAAGCCACGTGCGCCTCTCCTATATGCGAGTGTCTCGGACTCTGCGCATGCACGTTGGCTAGGCCAGGCAGTGGCAGCATGGCTAGGGCCACGGCCGGAGGCCTTCACATCCCCGTGCCCCCGCATGCTCGCTAGCTAGTCCAAGAGGTGACCGGGTGGACGGGGCTGCGGCCAAAGCCGCGCGTGGTCGTGCGTTCCTGGTTCTGCGCCCGTGCGTGCTGATCAGCCGACGGCCTAAGTGTCTACAGCCAGTCCTTGGCAGGGAGAAGGCGGATCCAGCGAAGGTGGTTTCATAGGCAGTAGTGTCCTAGGGGCGGCAGCAGTCTGGGAGTCCATCGAAGCGGAAGCAGATCCTATCGGCTCACGTCTGGTAGGCTAATTCCGACTGGACGACGACAGATGAAGGTGGGCTAACTGGTGATACATGGCGTCAGCTCATTTAAAGCAGATGAAGATGGCACCAGCAGAGGTTCGCAGCGATGGCGCACTAGGTGCGGCGGCGACTTGATGATTTTCACTCACCAAGTCTAGCCATTTCAGGAGAGGATGTCGAGAAGCAGGGATGTGCCGAGGTGGTTGTTTTTTCTTTTTTCATTTTTTGTTGTATGTTCTACTCTTTGTTGAGGTGTGAGTCTAAGTGCTATTGTTTTGGCTGCGTATAACCTTCGTGGATACAGAGACCGGATTAATGAAAATCCATTATTAAAAAAACTATAGTTTAGTGGTAAACTACGCATATTTCATGTGGTCCGGGATGGATATGGCCATGCAGTAGTAGTCCACGTCGGTTTCTCCATATGTGCAAGCATATTCAACGTAGGTGCAATTTCGCGTGCAAGCATGCGAGTCCAATCATAAGAGGCAACGTAGGAACTGATATGACCGCCCACGCCGAGAGACCTCTTTTCATAAGAGGCAACTAGGTTTATTTTAGGATATAAGTAGTATAGAGTGCCTCAAGACTCACCTTGCTGAATCTTAGCTGAAAAATACTATTTTGGCTAAAATGTTATGAGAGAAAAACATTGTTCCGGCTGAAAAAAGAAGTTAAACAAGCCGGATATGGGGTAACCTTTTGGATTCCATAAATCACCTTAGCTTTTCATCTATATGGAGTCCAATTTTGGTCAAAGTAGCCAAAATTTAGGCCATGTTCGGCTGCTCGTATAAGCCGGCTTATCAAGTATGATACAGTATTTTTTTCTCCTACTAAATCTGTCGTACACATCAGCACAAGCGGCTTTAACGGGAGTACATGCATGTGAGATGGATTTGACTGGAGTCTGCAGGAGCGGACTCTTTCCATGGAAATTACTTCTTTTCTCCCTGGAAAATACTTGTACTCCCATGGAACCTAACCTGCTATGCATGGAGTCAACTAACGTGGCAGCATCTTTTGTCTGATGCAGTACTTGTACGCGTCCTAAATATTCAAACATATCCGATCCGTGTCATAGGAAGGTCAAACTGCCAACCTGATAGCTGGCCTGCACAATCTGTTGGGAGTTGGAACACGTACTCAACAACCAATTTATTCCCATTGATTATTTATTCAATGTGACACAGTAGTAAAAGTTCGTATTACAGTACGCAACACAGCATAAATATTCAGCAGCACTAGGCGGCAAGAGTGAAATTGAAGTTGCTGCATGAAAGCCCGATCGCGTTGAGGAACGTGGTGAACCCGAGCTGCTTCTTCTCCACGTCGAGCACGAGCAGGTGGTTCTCCAGCTGGAACCCACCGATGACCGCCGCCGGCGCCTGCCCTGCCGCCGCCCGGACGAACCCGAGGCAGGCCGTGTTGCCGTTCACCTGCACCATGGTGTTGCCGCCGAGCACCGAGTAGTTCTGCGCGCCCTCCAGCATCACGTCGATCTGCGGCACTGCGTAGCCGAGCCGCGTCGGCGGCAGCTTCGTCGAGTCGTAGCACCGCTCGAACGGCGGCACCGCGGTGACCCTCGACATCCACGGGAAGTTGGGCCCGGTCGCCGCCGCGTCGAACGCCCTCACGAACGGACCGTACACGTCGGGCCGGAGAGATGTGTAGGGGGTCGTGGAGCTCAGCGCCACCACGAGCGGCCCCCCGGAGGTGCCGACGCGACCCTGCTCCACGGCGATGCCGGTGGCGGAGACGTAGTACCCGGGGGAGCCGTTGAATCCGTGCAGCGGCGCCGTGCCGGCTAGCATCGTGGTGAAGTCGCCCCGGTCCGGGAAGACCAAGGGACCTCCGCCGAAGATGGCCACGCCGACGCTGTTGCCGGTCGTGGACTTGCCGTCGCTCGGGAGGCAGAGCGCGATCTTGTTGGCAACCTTCTGGGTGCGCGCCACCTGTGCGGGGAACGACTGGCTCGAGGGCGCGAGCCCCGCGACGCCGACTGTGCCGGCGGGCAGCTTGGATGGCGGAGATGGCGCGCAGGAGGCCACCGCGGAGAAGGAGATCGGGAACAGCGGGTTCTGCCCGTCGGTGGCGTTCGCGGAGAGCGTGGTGACCGTGCCGTTCTTGGAGGCGCACGTCGTCAGTGAGATGACCGGGCTGGAGAGGTCGAGGACCAGCGGGTGGCCGTCCTTGAGCGGCGCGGTGTAGAGGGAGGTGGACGCGTCCTTGGTGACGGCGGTCACCAAGGGCTTGCCGCCGCTACCGGCTGCCGTGCATGGTGACGATGACAACGCCGAGATGCAGAGTGAGATGACGAGCAGGAGGGGTTTGGGATTCCACATTTTTTGAGTTTGGTTTTGAGCAGCTTTGGTAGCCGGTTTCGTGCTTGTTTGGTGAGGTTGCTGGTTTTAGTAGTAGTAGTAATCTGGTGTATATATAGGGCAATGCACGTGGACTTGTCAAGTTTAGATGCAAAGATCAATCGGTCTAGATGGACGTTTGCTTGAGAATCGGGTTTTGCTGTTCTCCTAGTCATCTCCAGGAGATTAGAGTGCCACCATTCATTTTGAAGTCAAAGATGACTTCAGTCGCAGAAAAGAAAAGTCAAAGATGACTACTCCTCGACATGTTTAGCTGGTTCCCATTTAGCTAGTTGAATTTCACTTTGCATATGAAAAAAGTCCTTCTACTACTCCCTCGTTTCCAGAATCTATCTATTCTATTAATAGTTTAATACACTAGTACACAGATTGTTGATCACCGTCAGATCAGGAAGCCTCATCACCATCAGTTTTTATCCTGATTGGTCATAATCAGTGGTGGTAAGTTCATATCACCACTGGCTTGAGTAACCCTAGGGCGGTGATAATTAAGTTGACATCACCTCTGGCCTCCATAACTAGGCGTGACAACCGGGACATAGGGCCAGCACCGTGGAAGCCACCGTCGCACGCAAGGGCCGCCTCTGCACCAAGATGCTAACATGGCAAGGCTTGGGCGCCCACCACTGCCGCACCGAGATCTGGGGCAACCGCACTGGGGGCTGCCAGGGCCATCACCACGGTCCGGCCACTGCTAAGATTTCATTTCGTCGAGATCCAGAGGTCGTCCGGGTGCTCCCACCGGGGCACCAGCGCTCTAGGCCACCTGTGACGGGTGTCACCCTCCCTCGGCCACTACACTAGGCCGCGTGCTAGACGACAGGCTCAATACCAATAGTCCAAATGGATGTGCTTTCACTGGCCACCAGGGTCCAGCTGCCGCCACCACGTCGTGGTGATGCTGTGCCGGGTGCCGGTGGTGGAGCAGGAGCTTATCGAGCCATGGGTGTGTGCCACCGCCACCGCCGCTTGTGGATAACAACTAGAGAGGGAGAGAGGGTCATGGATGGAGAGAGAAGGGACGAGAGAAGAGAGGAGGGCACTTGGGGTCTCGGGTCATCGGGGGGTCGCCTGGGGACTTTCGGTCTCGGGTCTTTGGGAGGATGTGAAGAGTCGCACCGTATGCTGGAGTTAACCATTTTTTCGGGTTCGCGCTATAGAACCTAGTGACATGGATTTGTTTCATGCATCTGTGAGTAACCGTTTACATCACAAACCCATTTTAACAACACATCACAGACGCTTTGGTAAGACGCATCTGTAATTACATATATTAGAGACGTGTTTTCTTTCGCGTCACTAGGAACGGGTGTATACTATTTGCTTTTTTTACATACTGAGTTGCCCTGCCCAGCTACACGTGCTAGGTTTTCGTCGCCCCCTAGGAGCTTTCTCAGGCAGGGAGAGAAAGGTGAAAAGGGAGAGAGGGAGACATATAGGTTATAGAAGACACTGAGCCACCAAGGATAGAGGAGAGAGGGTTTGTGGCTGCATGCTTCCCATGTGCCTATTCGCGTGGCGACACTTTGGTGGACGACCCTGCATGTCAGCCAGCAATAAAAAGCACATGGAAGCTAGAGAAAACACACGGTGGGAGAGGGAAGTGAAGCACAACCTGCTCCGATTTTTCACAGTCGATTTTATCTCAAACCGGTTGTGAAAATCATTTTCACCGCCGATTCAGGACACGATGGCTGGTTGTGTGAGGCGTGGCTGCACGCACACGGTGGCTAGTGGTGTGAGGCACAGCTGTAGGCACATGGCGGTGCGATGGCGAGGCGTGGCCATGGGTGCAAAGCGACCGGCGGTGTGAGGCTGGTGTGAGGAAGCGTTTGATGCATGTCGCGGGCGATCGCCGGTTTGGGGCATAGTTGCAGTCGCGGGCATACAATGGTCTGTACACCAGCTGTTGTGCGATAGTTCGGTGTGGGACTCATAGAGAGAGGTCCTGATGTCTCCATTCTTTAGGGAAGAAGAGGTATATTTTGAGATATTCTTGAAAATTGTAGGGATAAGAGATCTTATTGGACATTTGCCAGAGCAATCCAATCTCCTACTCCATTCCAAATTGTAAGTCATTTTTGTTTTTTCAAGTAGCTTTTACTATGTATCTAGACATAATGTATATGTGGTTATGAAGGAAAAGTTATGTAATTAGAAAATCCTGAATGACTTCAAATTTGAAATGGAGGTAGTATATTACAAAATTTTAGGGATACGGGAGGAGATGGGAGATCTGGTGGAGACGCTCTATAATCAATTTTGTAGGAGTGTATTCAACTGATCAAGAAAAATCCCTAGCCCAAATTATATGATATTAATTGGACAAAAACTAGAATATTGAAAAACCAACGCTGGCTCCATATATTAGACTCCCTCTCAATAGCAATGCAAGGGTATGGTGTGTATACAAAGGAATTAGCATGATGCAAAGCCTGCAACTGCAAGTGGAGCCGTCGAAGATGTGCAATCTGACAAAAGAAAAAGCTCTGCGTGGCCATGCAACTGCAGCACACGGGCAACCAGGCACCAACAAGCAGCGACATAAACGCAAAGGCCCAGCACTGCACAACTAACCAAACAATCAGGCGGCGGAAAGCAACGTCACTAGAAAGAATGCACACACGCAACGCAACACGATAGGGAGGCATATGAGTGGGAAAACAAGCCTTATCCTGACTCAAACACATGCAACGCAACATGCATACATGCACCACTACCGGAGTTTGTGGCTTTGCCGAGTGTCAGGGGCACTCGGCAAATCTTAATTTACACTCGGCAAAGGCTTTACCGAGTGCTGCACTCGGCAAAGACCACTCGGCAAAAAATAGGTCGGCAAAGGCGTCTTTGCCGAGTGTCTTTTGTCGGGCACTTGACAAAGCCTTTGCCGAGTGCCCGACACTCGGTAAAGTTGGAACCAAATAAAACCCGAAAAAATAGGAATTTTTACCAAAAATAAAAGATTTTTTTTAATCGGTGGAGACCCCCACCAACCAGCGTCCACCCATCTCCAGCATTTTTCGCTTAAATTTTGGAGATACGCGGCCAGCGGGATTCGAACCCGCGACCTCCCCTACGCGCGAACCTCCTCTACCACTACACCACACTGTCACTTGTGTTTGAATTCTGTTTTAGTTCACAACATATTATACTAAACCGAGTGTAAATTGCTTGTTTGAGGCCCTAAACGAATTCAAATAAAAAAGTTGTAAACTACAAAGTTTCATAACTTTTTGAGATCTACACTTTTAGTTTAGGAAGTTTTTCCATCCGAGATCGTTTACAAAATTTGAATTTTAAAATTTTAAAATTCAAACGCAGTTTTGCATGACAAGATGATTTCAAATCAAAAAGTTGCCAACTACAATGTTTCATAACTTTTCGAGATCTACACTTTTAGTTTAGGAAGTTTTTCCATCCGAGGTCATTTATAAAATTTGAATTTCAAAATTTTGAAATTCAAACGCAGTTTTGCATGACAAGATGATTTCAAATCAAAAAGTTGCCAACTACAATGTTTCATAACTTTTCGAGATCTATAGAGTTTATTTTGGTTGTTTTTCCATCCGAGGTTGTTTGAAAAGTTCGAATTTTAAATTTTTGAAATTCAAACACAATTTTGCATGATAAGACGATTTCAAATCAAAAAGTTGCCAATTATAAAGTTTCATACCTTTTCGAGATCTACAAAGTTTATTTTGGTTGTTTGATCATCTGTTCATCCGACATGGTCGTTCTAACATTGTTTACAAATCTTATATATCTCTCTTGTAGTTTCATAAACTACAATAGAGATATGTTAGATTTGTAAACAAATTTACTTTTACTTTGTCATATGAAGAAAAGACCAAAACAAATATTGTACATCTTGATGAGTTATACAACTTTGTAGTTGAAAACTTTTTCATTTGAATTAATTTACTGCTTCAAAATGTGCTTTAAAATTTTCTTTGCTGAGTGTAAAAAAACACTCGGCAAAGAGTTTCTTTGCCGAGTGTCAAAAAAAACACTCGGCAAAGGGCTTCTTTGCCGAGTGTCAAAAAAAACACTCGGCAAAGGCGTCTTTGCCGAGTGCCCGAAAAACAACACTCGGCAATCCACTTGGCACTCGGCAAAGAGCCGGTCTCCGGTAGTGCACACGCAACGCAACATGCATACATGCACACACGCAACGCAACATGCATACATGCACACGCAACGTCACTAGAAGTGTCGCTGAAGTCTTGTTTTGTCTATCAAACTCAAAACCAGATACGGAGATACCTTGAATCAACCAGCTATGAAATCCTATGACACCCTAAATTTTAATTTCTATAATTAGAGTTAATTTGATTTAATTTTGCTTAGTTGTCTTCATTTTATAGGAAGAAATAAAGATTTATGAAAACAGATTAAAAAGAAATATAAGGTAGATACAATGTAATGATGCATTCATGCTGCTGCATGGTTTGACACGATTATATAATGTGGCCCCATATAAAAATTGTATAGGGTAGGTTGGAATGCTGTGGATAATGAATGATCTGATGTTGCTTGAGGATCCTCGCCTTGTTTTTGTGCAAAGTCTTCGTTCGGATATTAGAGTGCCACGACTCAAGTGAAAGATAGCCCCTTGCACGTAGGTATGGCATATTCCCTTTTTATTGCATTTGTTAGTTGGCAAAATAGCCACGCAATTAATAGTTTCCTCCATCACCACATGGCTAGAATTAAACATAGAAAGTCGATCGGTGTCAGCTTGTACATGACTGAGAAGTTTCAAAAGAGACCGCTCTACAAGATTCCTGCTAATTGAAAGCTAAACTTGATGTGTCTTTATAAAAAACAAATGGAAAAGGGGAAAAAAAACTGGGAGCGCTTTTTATTCGGTAGTAGTAAATGGTGTGGAGTCCATACTATGGACATTTTCTGACCGACTGTCCGCCTGCGCGCTTCATATCCGCAATTTTAATGCCATACTT